GATATGACCTTGCGAACTCATGTAAATAACGAGAAAAAGCAGTGTTAGCATTAAAACAATAGCGCTATATTATAAAAAAGAAATTTGAATTCATACGAATTGACTCAATATTGAAGACGGCCACATACCGAAATGTGTCTGACAGGCTAATCAAAGTTCAGGATTATCACTTCTCTATCAATATGGATAAATCTCATAATTAAATCTACTGAGCTTTTTACATCTCCTCGGCCCAAACGAAAACTTTTCCTTTCGGTCGTCTAATCTCCAGGTTATTTCTACAAGAGTATTTAGTCTGTTAAAGAGTCGTTTTAAGGATAGAACGCTCGGGGGCCGCTCTTTCCTTTCCCAGAGGTTAATTATAATAAAATTAGTGTAAGATTAATTCTCGGCGTTTAGGAGGGGCTAAACGTGTGTTGATCATTAACCCAAGTGGCTGACCCGAGAGGGGATCTCTAGGCAATTTCACAGGAAAAATGTGGACGGGTAAATTGATATGACGGAGGAGAAAGAGAGAAAAAAAAACCGGGGTAATAATTGAGTGGAGGAGGTACAGGGATTCGGCTGCATTATTTTGTGGTTAATTTCTTTTTGAATGGGCTCGCCTCTGGACGAACATTACGGGTCGTTTTTAATGTGAGAATAATCTTCCCGGGACAAAACATCCTTCCACTATAATATGCCATTCCGTTCTGGTCGGATACCTTGTTTTTTCCTAATGTAAAAACCAAATAAAAAAGTTTTGTGCGTGATGCAAAACTCTTCTTACAAAAAATTAACCTAACTACCTTCCACTTTCGTTAACGACTGAGATATAATCTATTTCAAGATCCAATTATTGTAGCCAATCAAAATTTGTATTGTAAATAAGTCAGGAGGTTAATAATTGATAATTGCTTACATATTTTTAGCGTTTGGAAATGGCTGATCATTTTGGTAACTCTTACTTGCTGTTTGGGTCAGTCAGATATACTTCGGCTTCTCGCCATCTTTAGTGTTCAGCTAGTGGTACCCAGCGTTACAGAAAATGTAGCTTAGATGTTATAAATATATTAACAATCTATATTATTAAACAACTTATTAATCGATTTTTTTTTCAAAACGATGAATCTATTATCAAGGTACAATAAAAAAACGAGGTGGAAGGCCCAGGAAGTACAAAAGGAAGTGCTGCCTTTCACCCTATAGAAACTTGAACAATCAGCGTTTCAGTAGGGTGCTTCGGTGGTAGGGTGCTAATAGGGGCCGGAGGAAATCTATGAGGACAGCCTATTATGAGAAAATATGAAACTTATACTGAAGAAGCCCTTATTATTACGTACGGCCCTGGGTTAAATTGCTTCTCGAACGGTACGAATATCAAAGGCAAAAAGGTGACTACAAAGCATTAAAAACTTAGTACGCGGATGGACTAAAATAACGAGTATAAACAATAAAAACGGTACAGTGAACAAAAAATGATTTTGGAAAACGGCATTTGTTACATCGCTTATTTAAAAAATAATAATGAAAATTTTTAAAAAAAATTTAGAGTGTATTATCTTGCTTGATCTTTTGTTGTTGTGATGATATCTCCCGAAATCGTTTTCCATATAAATTAAATTCCCTATAACTTTATAAATTCCATATAAATATTATGGTTGTATGTATTTATATGTAGGGTATATTCAATTTAAAAAGATCACAAATAACTACACATCAAAGAAACACTACTAAGTTCCTGCACTAATAAAACCAATTTGTCAACTGTAGTCATAGTTCATAATTAACTTTGGTCTATTTAAAATTAAAACAAGCGATAAAACGATGAAAGTATATCTAATCCGAACAAAAAAAAAATTTCTATGTGGGATTTCATATATTAATAGTCAGTTATTTTGACTTTACCCATTCAAAACTATACTGGCGATAATTTGCCACACTTTCATCCAAAAATGTGAGGTCTTAAACGAATCTCACCAGTCCTTTTCGAACGTTTTGGATTATCATCGTTCTTTTTGTCTGTCAGACTCGTTTCGACTTATCTTCGGAGGAGGGTTTTTAAAATCATTATTACACAAGTGAATGTATTGAAAAGCCAAAAGCGTGACGATAGGCAGACCAAAATGATCCAAAACTACACAACCCCCTGCTTTTTCCACGCAGGTTTTTTTTGCAACGTACCCTTGTAAACATCACTGACTCCCTTGTGCCTACCAGTCCTATTAAATGCTTGCTCCTGCATTCTTCCGCTAATCCGAACAGGATATTCAAATTAGAAAAGAAATATCTTTCATTTTGAACCGATGTAACCGCCTCCCGTGTATTTGTGCGTGATCTTTAAGACAGTCGATCCTCCAGTTTGGTTCGATCCCAGGCGCTAAACCTCGAATTTTCTCATCACTCAAAGCATTTAGTAAAGCTTAATCGAGGGGACTCGGTGGCCGCAAGGTTTAGTCTTTGATACGGCGCTCATCACTGTAAGGTAAAGGTCCCGGGTTCGAATCCAGCGGCCCTGCATTAGAACCCGACATACTTGCAAATGGGCTTTTTTTCAAAAACACCGGCATCCTGAGGGTTTATATGACCTCTGCTGTTGCGAACCCTCGTAAAAAAAAAGAGTTATTCGAATGTTTTTACATTATTTTATTGATGTATTTTGCGAAGATAGTCCAATAAAAGTTACAATAAAAAATTATTATAATGTATAAAATTAAAGCCAACATTCTGATGTTCAACAGACTGTGGCCTCGTCTGTTATCAATCTTCATATAAATCATCAGGAGAAAACGAATTCCCTTCAGAAAATGTTTTTATTTATATTCTATCCACGATAAGACTAATTAAATGAAAAACATATATGTTTTTTAATTATGATAATATTTTAATAAATATGAGCTTAGTAAAGTCAGAAAGTTTATAATTCATTGGTTGAAGTGCCTTGTTAACAAGACTGAGAGAGCCTTGATTAGGTAATAACAGGTTTATATTACAATGAAGTAATATATCACAATCCTTTTATTTTGATAATTGCTGTTTTCCTTTTTTATAAAAAAAAAGTTTTGCCCATTGACCCATTAAGAGAGAAAGGAAGGAAAGGCCTGTCGGACCGAATCAATTTTAGATTTATAAACGCCCCATTTGCTATTTTGTCCAAAATAAAAACCACTTTGCGAAAAACACGGATCGTTTCTATTTATGACAGGACGTTGCGAGTTTGTTCACCGTCAAACTTTGACGTGCCGTTTCCGTCCGGAGCCCAGGTCCAAGTTTTAATGTTATTCTCTAATGGAGAAGGATCCGCCTACGGTGAAACAAACAATCTGTATTACTCAATCACAATTAGAAATCCATTTGTCATGGAAATCAATGGTATGTCCCATCAATCATCTCCGTGTAATTTATCAGACTTTGGATTTACATAATACAATGACGTTAATTGGGTTTAAAATCAACTAGGCCCGCATGGCGATTGGGATTTTAGTGGAATCGGGGTTTTTTAGTTTTTACCTTTTTCCTAGGGGTTTTTTCTGCCAAGCATGCAGAAATGAAAGTGATAGGCATCAGCTCGTGGTCACCATACTCAACGCGATGCCGTTTCGCTGAATGCCTTTTCCCTAACGATCGACCATCAAAACGAAAACGCATTTGAATATGTGTTACATACCCGACTTTCTCCTCTTTAAAGAAAGTCATTTTTGTAATAAAAAAATTAATCCGTTTTAGCGTTCTATAAAAGTGAAATTTTTCACTTCTGGACTAGATAAAACACATTACACACTTTATCAATTCTAGCAGATATGTGCTGTTAAAGTTACTTACTTTAACAAAAATTATCACACTGAAAAATCAATGTCGTAAAACATACAAAGAAAGGTTATGGAAAAACTAGGTTGTTCTATGTAAGAATGAATGCATCAAGACCTTGCTGCGTTCAAAGTATTTTGGAAGTTTTACGATTTTAACATTCGAGATCCTACAAACAGGTTTCTGCTCACTCAAATTAAATTAATAAATTATATTATAATAGATTTGTTGAGATTGTTATTGGGCAGCCGGGATCCACAAAGGGTTTAGTGCCAGGAAGATAGATTATTGGGATGGTTAAAAAGTCTTGCCCAGTTCGTACATCAAATATGCCTATTGTGCTCTTCTTCTGATTATAGTTCACTGTTTTCTTTCATACTGGCACAGATTTAGACTTTGATTTTATGATTGAACAAGCAGACAAACTGGCCTGAAAAGAATCTCCACAAGAATACTCCATTTCGAAATGGGTTCACAAATAACAAAAGGAAAAGTGGACGACAGAGGTACCAGACACAATCAATTAATTAAAGAACTTTCATAAAAACTAGTAAACATTGCGACAACGAAGTGTAAAACTCAGAGAAGTGATAGGGCTATATACCGGGCATCTCAAAATCTCCTAATAATATTGGTATATTCAATGATGACCATGACGGTATGTCATCATCGGTTATGTAAAGAGGAGGAAGAAACTGCTAACCATATCATATCATAACGCGAAGCAACTGCTCAATAGAGACATAACCTAAAGAAACGAGAAGGCCCAGGAAAAAATTGCAGCCATGTCAGTCAATGCATCGTACTTCTTAAGAAAAGGATCGAGTCAATTAAACTGAACTAAGGTACTTCGAAAAGTACAGTAAGTCACAGAGCTGCCGTGCTTGCTTTTCTTATACCAAACCCCCGATCGCTAGTATCACCGCATGATTCTAAAACTGTTGATCGTTGTGTTTGGCACTGCTCGATCATTTCCGATCATTTTTGCTCTGGCTGTCCTCGATGTTTGTCACATGTTGTCGCAAACCGCTAATGATGCCGAAAATCCGATACTCTTCTGACAAATCAATGGAGTGACTATCCGAAACGACCAAACTGCAGGTTGGTTATCCCGCAGATTTCACGAAGAAATTTAACAATAAGAGAACATTATATTTATAGGTTTTTAGTTCATTGTCAGGTTACACATTCTTAATTAACTTCTGTTTTCACAGGTGGTGTTGCCGCAGAATATGGCCACGATATTCGCCCTGGCAGCAATTCAGGACAGGCAAAGAGGCGCTGGAAATCACGCTACCTCGTCGACCTCATCCCCCAAAGATCTCGTAACGACTCCAACAAGTGAGTAGCAGAGCTGTTTTGTCGCTTTTTATCGCACGTACATTTTGATCTGCCCGAAGGCAATAGCTATATATTTCCTGACATTAATTGATTCCCGGTCCTGGGGGAGAAAAGGGGAGGTCGAACTGTGTTTATGACGTTATCCGCGAGTGAGGGGGCGATCGACCCTTTATTCCCCGATATATGAAGACATAAAACGGGAACGGATAAAACTCTCGTTCCTTTAAAACAAAACTAGCACAGTAACATATGTCCCAACCTACGGCCCAGGTGCAATTTTTCTGCAACTTTTTACTACCCTGTGTATGTGACGTTTCTGACCGAGTTTACTGCCGTTTCATACCCGAGGCTTACTCTCTCCCTCGTTATTTATTGTCACTACCCTCCTAATAAAACAACAATAACAATATTGCAACTCCAGCCATCGGTTCAGTCCCTAGAGACTATAAACACTGTGTTTGTAGCGCTTCTCCCTCCGGTTCCTTTTACTGTAGACGCCCTTTACACTATAATAAAGAATATCATTATAAAGTAAAATTACAACATATAGCAATATTTTTATTGGCTGATTACTTTAACACCTCTTAGAAACAGTTTACAAGCATTACGACAATTTCCGGTGTCTTCTAGGTCCTATTTTTTCGCTGTTTGTTCTTAGACTTGAAATTGGTTCTCAGCCAAAAAGGTTGACGAAAACAAAAATAACATAAAGCTCTATTTTGTTTGTCATAAAAAAAACATAGATACCGCCGATATATTTATAAAAAGTTTAAATCCGTATTAATAAGAACGACTGTCATCAAACTCGGATGTGCCAATGAAAATTCTTGGTGCAGGATTCAAAATGGAAAGTGGATATTTTAATTACAAGGTACGAACAATTTGAAATTTTCTGCCATCGAAATATCTATTTGATCTGAGTTAATTAAACCCGACTTCAAAATGCACGTCGTATGTCGGCTTAAGTCATGATTTTGAATTTCGCCCCTTTATTTTATTTATTTTTTATTTTTTAATGTTTATAAGATTGCAAGTTCTAAAGCCAATCAGATGTGCACATGCACAACATCCGTCAATTTAAGCAAGTCGTGTATGCTTGTAAATGATTTTTTTTTTTATATATAACAGCATTTGTAGCATAAAAACGGGAGATACGTTTTTAATTATAATCATTATGTAAATAAAAATTAAACAATGTGGGCGGGGAAAGTATAACTTGCCATGATCTAAATGTTAATTGAAAGATTCCTTATGTTGCGTCGGTTGCAATTTTGATTCATGTGTATCTTTGCCATTGCAATTTCGAGCAATTTAAGATTTTTTTTTTCATTTATAATTTTTCGGCTGGTATCGAAAGAAATCTTTTAAAAACCGTTTCAGTCTGAATGGGACGGTATTTCGTCCGGGGAAAAGTAAAAAAAGAGGTGTTAGCGTGACATATTGCCCCTGGTCTAGTAGGACCTATGTCTTGTATACCGGTTCTCGTGCCAAGCCGAATCTTGGCCGGTGAACACCTCGATAATCGTTCTTATCTCCTGGCCTTAGACGTCGTAAAACATTTCCAACTTGTAAATCCGAACGTGCTCCGTCTGTCTAGTTAAGACATTCCTCTTCCCGGGTCGAACCGGACCCTACCAATTTTCTTCGTGAGTAATGCTGGCTTTTTTCGCCCCTTCTGTTTGAAAGGAGGATTCGGAAAGAAATCAGATCTGCAAATCAACGGGGCAGACAAATCAAGCTTATTTATTTGTTAACAACATTCTGATTTAAAATAAACACATTTATCATTTGTATTAAGTATTAAAATTTCAAACTGATACTGTAAGACACTTATAAATAAATAAGTGATAAAATAGAAAAAGTAGGCTGCATAAAAAGTCTTAAAGTTATCTGGTCCGTCTGTTTTCGCTGGTCTACCTACACCACATCAGTGTATTCCATCGAACATCTGCAAATTGTTCCAGTAAATCTAGTTAATTCTTGCAAAACACTTTTGAAACTAGGAAAATACATTTGAAAATTTTTTCGTCTTCTTAAACTTTATTGAGCAAAGCTCATTACAGTTATGATCGTTATAAAATATGACTAGGAACATGTAGTGAAGACAAACGCTTAGCAGAGGTCCTCACTTAATAAGAATAGAATTGGTAACAGAAGCTTGCAATAATTAATTACTTAACAGTAATAGATACGAGTTTAGATTATGATGGTTATAAAATATAACTTCACTAATTTCGTGGTCCGCTTGACCAATTAAATCATTACAATTAATTAAGGTTTTTAGTTGAGATGAAAAAAAGTTAATGGCACGAGCGGGATTCGAACCCACGATCTTCGGCTAGATACGCCGCTGCTCTACCACTTGAGCTATCGTGACCTCGATCCACTCGGACATCAATTTTTAATCTCAACTAAAAACCTTAATTAATTGTAATGATTTAATTGGTCAAGCGGACCACGAAATTAGTGAATTTAAAGAATCAATATGAAGTACACTTCACTAAAACTCTCCGTGGCCATTTCAATTGTCGTCGAGAATCCAAACCGATTACACGACATTTGAAAAATGGCAAAAAGAAGGGAAAATTCAAAAGGTGGGGTTGAGATAGGAAGTTGATGTCCGAGTGGATCGAGGTCACGTTAGCTCAAGTGGTAGAGCAGTGGCGTATCTAACCGAAGATCGTGGGTTCGAATCCCGCTCGTGACATTAATTTTTTTTCATCTCAACTAAAAACCTTAATTAATTGTAATAAAATATAACTTGGAACATGTAGGGAAGACAAACGCCCAGCAGTGGTCTTCACTTAGTAAGAATAAAATTTACAACAATAGCAATAATTAAAATTTAACAGTAATGGATACGAGTTGAGGTCGGTACAAGGTCCGAGTGTCTTTTCTTTTTCTTCTTTGTGATCTTGGAGTTGGTTGGCTCTGGGTAATTTCTTGCATCGGTTAGATTGCGCCATGATGGACCGGTGGTGACGATTATAGGTGTCATTGATCACCTTAGGAATGTCCAAATCTTTTTGGATAGTTAGTTCCAAACATAACAAGGAGCATTTGTTATTAACCAGAGGATAAGGTTCTGAATTTGCACCGTTTTAATTTGAGAATCAGATTCCAACGTTATTGCCAGAAAAGCCCTAGGATCATTATGTAAATGAGTCGTTTCACGTGGAGAGGGATGGTTTTACTAGCGAGGAGATGTTTCGGTGCGTACATTTGACGAGTCCGCTTGAAAATGTTTTTAACATGTGTTTCCCACATTAGCTTTTGATCCTAGATATCGCAACGATATTGTAGATGTTACGGGTTTCTCCGTGCAACAAAATTGTTTCATTTGACACGAGGCGACGGTAAGTGAATTGGACTACTTTCGTTTTGTGTTTGAATATACACAAACCATGAATCCTCCCTGTTAACTTTACTGTATAATGTGTTGCACAGTGTAAAAACTCCTTACTTTTGCCTCAGGTTTGTCGAGTTCTTATTTGTTTCTTTTGAGTATTATATTGTTCTGTTGTAATAAATAAAGGCAAATGTTTAAGGTCCCAGTACTTTATCTTTCCCCTTGAATACTTTAGAACACTATTATCCGGAGGAACAATACTATCTCCACTAATGACTATTTCTTGAGTAATGATTAAAAAAAGAGTTTGTTGCTTTATGTGTAGACAATGCCTGGGCCAATTACGCGCCGTCTGAATAGAGGGATAAAGGACTTCACGACCGTTTGGACAAATCTGCCAAAAATCTCCCCCCCCCCCCGGGATAAAGTGGTTCTACGTAAATGAGTAGGCAGTAGCAGGAGCGGGTTTGAATGGGCGACATTCCTGAGGGCAGGTAGGCCACGAGGGTACCTAATGAATTATTTAAACTGCAACACACACAAAGATACGTGCGCGCACCAGCTCGTGTTCCGCCTCCAGTTTTATAGCCTGATAACTGCTCCACTCCTCGCTCAATCGCCACTTCAAAACTGTCCCTTTTCCTTTCTTCCTCCTCCACGGCATCCATCGAAACTGGAATCATCACCGGCAATTTGCACCTGCCCGATGTTATCTGCTCGTCTAAACAACCGTGATGCAAGTGCTTTTAGCCCGGAGGTTAATTAATTATATGCAAACATGTCAAGGAGCTACGTTCGTCAATAAGCGTCAATAAAAATTCTCAAGTTTTCTCCTAATCATTTAATTATGTTTCATTTAGATTCGGCAACTGTGACAAATAGAAAACCCTGCATAACGAGAATTATAAAATCGCTTTAGAAATGTCTTCACGCCTCGTCCGAACAATTTGAACGTCGGGGATTAATTAAATCGGACACCTATTGAAGAACAAATACTGTGAAAGTTTCATGTTTAAATTCATAACGACCGTCACATAACGATTTTTCGTCACTTTCACCCCCTCTTGTTTTCCCTTTACCCTCGCAGGTTTTCAATAAGAATCGAGGGTGTTTCCGTTGAAATATCGAGAGATTAAGTTGTACCAATTACGATGGCCGGTAGCACTTCTTGGGATGTTAGTGCTAAGTCGAATTGACTTTATCCCGTGCAGCTGTCAGGAGGCAATATCCGGTCAAGTCATGACTCATGCCAACCCTTCCGCCTCTTTAATTGCAATCAAACACACGGGGTCGATCCCGCTTTTTGTCAGCTCGTCGAATACGGGCTTAGTTATTAGATTTTGACGTGGATTCACGGTATGATCGATTGCCGGATCCACCCCGATCAAAGAGTACATCCGTCTAATGTTCCCAAGATTCTACAAGGGTTGACAAACCGCCGTTTTAGTGCAAATCTCCGAAAAAGAGCAAAAGAATTTCCACTTTGGAATTTTATAACTACTTTTTATCAACGAGTGAAATGTGAAACGGAATCTTCACCGCGAAGGCACTTAGCACCGTGTTATTCATTACGCCCTTGGACAAAGAAGAATTTCTTTCCTGTAAACCGAGAGTTTATCTCCAGGCAACGAGAGAATGAGAATCCGAACCA